TGATCCTCCGATCAGTCAACCAGATGTGCCAGTCTGATGAAGGCTAAGTCGGTAATTCTTGATAAGTGGCAAGTTATTGGTTAAGACAATAACTAAGAACATCAAGACTAATACCCTTCTTATTCTTCTAAAGATAGGATTTTATGAGTCTCTCAGATTCGTCCCAATGAAACATACCATAGCTTCTAATAGAGCGACAACGAAACACTAAATAAAATCTTTTAGGCAGAAACAGTACTGAGAAGATTATATATAGGCAACGTTTCAGCCTCACAATCCCTCAGAGTATTGCTGTTTTCTCGAGGCATACCTAACTTTACTAAAAGTCTCATTTCATTTATTTACTTTGATATTTTCACGATACTTAGAATTTACCTACGCGTTTATTTACTCTAAGGCGTTAATATCGCCTTAATAGACCGAATCTTACATCATAATCTTAACTTATGACTTCAGTCTTTTTCTCTTAAGGAATGGCTGTGCTTAGGAAAATGTTTGTGGTTGTTATCTACCTTTACGTTCAAGTAGTCTAAGTAGTCAATACCTTTGCTAACTTGGAAATGTGTAAGATTCGGTCTATCAAGGCGGTATTAACGCCTTAGAGTAATTAAATGCGTAGATAAATTCTAGGCTATTACAGATACACCTGTGTGAGTGATTGACCGATAGTCATGTACATGTATACCATTTCATGCGCTCCTACGTTCGCTCGATTATCAGTGTGGTAAACCTTTTTCATCTCTGTAACCAACTTTTGAAATGCGACTAGTGGCATATGCAGACACTGTCTGTGGAGACGGGGATTGATGTTACTCATGATAGATTCCAGGTTTTCTAAACCGCGATAGTGATTTTCATTGTAAACATTCACACGATGTCCGCCCAGCCCAAGGATATTTATATTGTATTCGGGGAATCTGCTATTGCATACATTGTTTGCGCTGTAATGTCCACCATATACTTCGACACTGCTAAAGTTCGGAGAGCTTCTTGCGTACGATTTGTTTCTACGCATCCATCGCACTCAGCATCATAGCCAGCCTCGCCACACATACTGCATAACGTGCTGTTGAAGCTGTTAAAGCTTGTGATATTACAGCTTATTACAATGCAGAAAGTGTATATTGTCTAGATGTTGTTGTTATCAATCTTCAGAATGTTTGTAAATGTGCTTAAAAGTTGGAGTAAATCCAGAAATAGAACACCGCATTCTCGTCCGTAAGTCAAAAGGAGGGTAGACCCTCTTTTTGACTTTGAGAGGAAAATGCAACAAAATTAAATGTTGAAGTGTATTTTTGTGTCGTCATTGGCAAAATTCGGCAAAATCATCACGTATATTTTGCAAATTATGATTCTCGAAAATTGAGCGAGTCGATTCCCAAAATTCGCTGAAGAATTTGGAAATGCTGTCAAATGTCAAGAAATATCAAAATCAGATACCGGAGTAAGGTGTTTTACTCCTCCCTCAATTTTTTTCTCAGTATAGTCCGAAGTTGGCAAATCCGGCCATAAAATAATATATACCAACATAGCTTTCTATTGTCGAATTGAACAGGCTATCTCCCAAATGGTTACCCGCCAGTATTGTAACTATCCAGTATTGAAATATTTTACTCGCTAGTAGTGTAACGTATTCCGTTAGTGAAAAACAATGCAAAGCGGAAGCTCATGGGTGCTGTGGCAGTTGATTGACTCTGCCTTTCCTTCAGGAGGGTTTGCGCACTCAGGAGGGTTGGAGGTGTGTAGCTTTGTTTGATATTAGTTGAGTAATGGTTAATAGTTGGCACTCAATACACTTAGATGCTCTGTCATGAGCTAACGGTTTGTCTTGATAATCGGTACATGGTAATCAACATACATGCATTTGTTCTCTGATTAGTTACATCAACTCAGATGTGCAGATGTACAAATGCACTGCTCAAATTTTGGGCTGCACCCCCTCATTCAGCTACAGTGGCCCATGATAAAATGCTTGTGGGAGTAGCATAAAAGTATCCCGCGTATTTTGACCCAGTTTTATGCAAAGATGTACACTTAGCGCTTTGGCTGCCGTTATATTTACCGTTGGTGGCGTCGTAAATCAATCTACTGGAGATTGCTGCTTGACATGCACGTGAACCAAATATTGGCGTCAGGTATCATACCCATGCATATCTTGTCTATTACTTAGATGTTCACCCGTTAGTTCGCACGTAATCTATTCATCTATATGCGTCATGTTCACTACGTCGTCTACAGGCAGCCAGTCAGTATGGGCTGACACCGACGTATACACAGCTCAGCGGGGCTGTGACTACAGCAGTGCAACAGGTGGCGAGGTAAGGTATCACGTACTTCTGTACGCACACACGGTATTGTCAGAGTCTTTCCTATTATTTCTTGGGCTATTCTAACTCGCAAGCCGATGTGTTCCTGATTAGAAGCTGATGCTATCGTTGTCGTTGATAGTTGGGTATTATCATACAGTCAGAGTCTGCCAATACTAAACCAGGTGCTCAGCAACCCACAGTCACTTCTCAACTGCAGTGTAAATAAGTCCTTGGTTCATATTATACACCAACATCACCAATATAAACATATACATACATACACGTATACATATACATATACATGATAGCCTTACATTCATTGTCTGGTTGTCTCAGTCAGAGTCTGCCGATAATGCACCAGGTGCACACTAACCCAGAGTCCGTGTGGGAGGCAGACCACTTTCTCGACTGCTCACTGACCAACAACGTGGCCAACAAGGCGTCGCGTTCGCAGGGCGAGGTGGGTAATGGAGTCTTGATCGTGTGATTGTGTATTTAGTTAATTGGTATTGTTTATAGAGTGTCCTTTGTGAACTTGGTTAATTATTATTACTTTAATTGTCTCCTGTTGTGTTGAGGTAGATTGTTTGTGTGCTCGCATATGATATAGTTTTAATTAGGTTGGTTACCACTAGTCAGCGTCCAGTCTCAGGCTGCAAAGTATCTAGTGCGAGCTGAGTCGGTCCTGCACTAAGTATCCACAGTCGCCCATATAGTTTATTCAACCGGCTCACTCTTATAGTTTCTTTAACCGGCCCACTCTTATAGTTTATTTAACCGGCCCACTCTTTTAATCTATTTAACCAGCCCAATCTGAGCTTGGGGTGAAGTATGTCCTGGGTCATACAACGTCTGGGATCAGTCGATGTCCCAACTGCAGGTGGCCATCATTTTTTCCACTAAACGTAGTAGCATTTACGGATCTTGTGGCCCTTTCTTATGGTACGGTGCAGTGCTGCATTGTCAAGTAGCAGTAGGACTATACAGGTGTTCCCATGTACGCGTTGAGACAAGGTTTCGACCTCAGACACATCAATACTGCTGTCACTCTAATATTAGGGTTGTAGGGTTTGTGGTGAGCTTCATGACTTTCCTTTGTACCTATTTGTGGAAACGTAATCTCCACATTGTGGACCCTAGTGTTTAAAGCGTTCGTGTCAAATCTTATATCTGTTTATCATTTTTATCGATTTAGTGCCAATTAAATCAGTATCCTATTCATCGCCTTCAATTCCTCTTCCCACATAGGTCTTGGTCGTGCCGTATCTCTGTTTATCATTACTATTCGTTTTAGTGCCAATTAATTCAGTACCTTATCCATCGCCTTGCTTCTTCTTCCCACATAGGCCTTGCTCTCGTCTGCCATTGATTGCTTCCCCACCGATTCCGAGACGTCTCAGTGCGCATATCTCAGTCAGATGAAGGTGTGTGCATGGACGTAGTGATTCCTTCAATAGAGCGTAAAACCGTATTCAAACAGCCCCAAGGCTTGTGATTTGGAAAGTCTTTCTAATTATTTTTGGCGTTCGGTGTACATGGTTGACATGGTGATGGCGTGTGTGAGCTGCGAGTGTTTTTGACCCAAGCATGCGTATATTTGGGTATTACTGGTGCGTGTTGTGCCACACGTCTTCGTACTACAATATATATATATATATATATGTATATATGTTATATTTATATGTATATATGTTATATATATATATATATAT